TAATGATTCTATGATTCTATGAACATGCTATTAAGTTAAATAATGTGGTGACCAAATAGGTTCTAAATAAAATGCTAAATAAACAGATACTTTGCTAAGAGCTCTGTGAAACATCAGAGGTCCTTCAGTTGTCCCTCTGCCTCACCCTGATCCTTGCCTACCTTCTGCTTGGGAACTGCTATCAGAGGGCTCCACGTTTTCTGAGTGGATGAGCTTAATAGTCCATGCTTCACCAGCTCCACGTCACGTCACCTTCAGGAGCTTCACTGTTGCCCATCTTTGGGTCTTGCCAACTTCTGCCCATGGGCTTTCACCTCGCCCGTACTGGCAAGAAGCTGGGATGAGGCGGTGTGGGCCCTGCCAGTCCAGGGGCTCTCTCCATTCCTCTTCTGGTGTGACCCTCTTTCATACTCCCTCATCTGCTTCAAACTCCTGCCTTGCCCAGCCACCAGACTAGCTGTCTCCTCATCAGCCCCCTTCCAAGCACCTCCTGACAAGTCTTTCTTCCCACATGCTACAGAACACGCTTGCCCTTTCCTGAGGAAGAATGACTGCTAACTGGCCTTTGTTCAGAAAAGTGAAATGCATCCCAATGCAGGACATCCAAAATTCTCATTTATGTCCTTGGGGATGGCTTAAGTGTGATGTAATAGTTCATGGCTTCTCGAGGGCTCCCCTGAGAGGCAGTATTTGCAGCCTGAGGAGCAAGTAGTGCAAACACAATTCTTTACTTCAAAACTGATGCTTGTATAAAACTCAACTATTAAGTCAACATTTGATAAAATGACATTTAAGGACGTAATTGTTTGCAAAGAGAAAATAAGACGACAGCAATAACCACTTCAAGAATAAAAAGATGGACTGGAAATCCCCCGGTTTACATGGTCTACACCTCCCAAAGGCCATCTTTCTCTTTGTGTCCAATGTGTACACTGAGAGAAAGTTATTAAGAATATAAAATTTTGCATCTAGAATTTGTACCCTAAAAGAATTTCTTGGCTTCAACATAACTTAGAACACAACTTACAGTTTATACTCAGATACCTTCTCAGAGACAATTAAAAAAGCTACAGAGTTCTGAAAACAGTCACACGCTTGTGCTATACAGTAAAGGAGACTCCTCCAGAAGAAGGTTTTGCTTTGAAATCTCATGCATGACTAAAACCAAGCTATGACATAACGAAAGATAACTACTTACCCTGGGATTAAAGGCCAGCATCTGAGGATCATTAGGATCAACTACAGAAGGATATGGCTCAAAAATGATAACTTTCCTAGGTGACTCTAATGCAGACCGACACATGGATACTAACAGATCAACCACCTAGGGATAAAGAAAAATATTTATTCAACAGATGTACTTTCATATTGTATCTTCCAGACTGCTTTTTTTACATATTGTAATAATACCATATTTCATTTGTTACCTATATTACCCAAACTGTGTTATCCACAGGACATAGTTCAGGACTGAAATTCTTCCATTGACCTCAACAGGCTTCGGGTTCAGCCCTGGTACATTATTTCAGGTGCATAAGTAGAACCAATATCTGGTCCTAAATGTATCATCATGTCAAACACATTGCTTGCAGTCCTTCTTTCTCTTGTGCACACGTGCTAATTCTTGGATTAAATTCATTGTCTAGGGAAATGAAGTTGTGCTGGATCTGTGTAACTCTGTGCAGTAGATGCAAGTGAAAAATGTTGCTCAAGAACGAGGAAGGGTTTGTGAATCTGTACCACTGCCTGCTGTTCTCCTGAAGATTGTAATCACAGAAACACTTGTAAACATTGCTTCTGCTAAAGCCAGAACAGTGCAGTGATTTAACAGTCATATGCAGGGCTCACATTGGGAGATCCTCCTCCTACCATCCTGTTGTACAGAACTACAGCATGGCTTTGAATATCTATGATTGCCAAGATTTCATCTTAAGATCACACATGTAATGTGTACACAGGCATGTATTCACACATGTGCACATAGGCACATACACAACTTAGCAACAGATTTCTGTACAATTGTTTCAAAATTTTTAATTCAGAGATTAAAAATAGAATACAGCCATCACAAACCAGATAGAATGCAGCTTTCTGCCAGAAACCTAAATACAGCTCATAATGAAATCCAAAGTTGCTACGTAAAAATTAGCTCATTTCCCCCTGTTTTTTCTGTGCCTTCTGAAAACATCCCTGTGTGAAAACACCTTTCCATGAAAGAAAGGAAAAGCTGAGATGAGTCGTACTTAGTAGGCATCCCTGGTTCCTCCCACAACTCCACATGGTGCAGATCTCATCTCACAGCTCAAGCTGTTCTAGAAGTTTTTATATATCTGCCACTGTATCTGATCATTTGCAGGAAAAAAAAATTATGGTCCTTTAGAGATGCGGAATGAAAATACGAATCATGATGAAAGGGAAAAGGAACTGTGCTGCAGTGAGTCATACTGTTGCCATTCTCCTCCTCTGCTCCTTTAGCGTGAATGGACAATCTTCTCCATCAATTTAAAAATATTCTGTTAGTTCCAGTTACTAAATATATCACTTACATTGAAAAATGAAGTTATTTAAATAATGATCCCTTCCTCCATGGTGCTCTGGTTACTTTCCAGTTATAATACCTGTAAGCATGATTAATGTTTCAAAATAGGACATCTGCGTTAGCATTTGCAAAGGAGACCAGGAGTCTGCGTACACAGCCAGGTCAGGCAACAGGCCTGCAACTGTGTACATGTATTACCATGAAATTGAGCCTGAGTTCATACACCCTACTTCTCAGAAGTACTACTTAGCCTCCAGTCACAAGACACTACTAGGGAAGAGCTGTTTGAGTCCCCAGAGTTGTCTTGCTTTATGATTTGCATGATGGGACTTAAAATTATGTCTTAAAATTGGCACAGTTCTTCTGTGAACACCATCCCAAAGCCGTCCTTTAAACCAGCTGTTGACTCTTATGTTGTTTCTCACCATGATCCCTGCATATTGCTCTGACATGGGGGAAAACACACATAGATTAGGTTTAGTTAAACCCCCAATTTCCCCTGACATCATTGTTCTGAGCTGATGGAACGCAGAGCAACTTAAACTGGGAGGTGAGTCTAGTATAAACATTATAATACAAACTTGCATATGTGTTCCTTGGTAATAGGAAGTGCTGTGGATCTAGTAAATGTCCTTATAGCTGGGCCTGAACTCCTCCTCCCGAACAGTAGGTACTGAAGTACGCAAATAAGGATTAAAATATTTCCAGGGAGGACAAGATGACACTTGCTGATGACAATTCCCTCTTACGACATCACTCTCTCAGACAGTGCCTCTCTCTCTCCAGAGACTCTCTACAGGAAGTCTGAAGTATCAACAAATCAGGCATTTTATTTTCAAGCATTTTGACTACATGACTAAAAAAAGGTAAGGTGAGTTTGGGCTTGAAAGTTTTAGAAAGTACAATCACTTATTATTATTGAGGAGGAGCCATCGGAATACTGGGAGTGACAAAGTAGGCGTGTATACCTTAGGAAATTAGCTGAAAGCACAGCAGAAAAAAACAGGATGTGATTTCTAATAGTGGGAAACTATATTTAGGCTCCTTCACTACACAAAATGATTTGGAGGAAGATTCATCTGCCAAAATGTAGAGATTCACAATGCGAACACCTACTTCTTACTAGTCAGCCTAGCTCTCTTTATAATCAATGGAGAAAATAACCACTGTGCTGACAGTCTATGCTGTGATTCACGCTATCCTAAACTAATGTCAAAAATAGCTTAGATGAATCAAACCCTACAAGTGCTGAATTCTTTCTGCAAACAGGAATGGGAGCTCAACCAGATCAGATGTAGTGAGCTGGGTGCAATGCTATCACTAGAGTGAGACTTAACAAAATTTAGTCACCTAGGTCCAATGGGACAATTGACAAAATCTCTTACCTAACTCTTTTAAGCACTGTCAAGGTTGTAATCACTTCAGTACTCTACAGTAAAGCTCTGTAGATGTAGAGGTACTCTAGAGATCTAGAGCAAGCTCCGCATATGCCTGCAACAGTGATACCTACATAAAACACAGAGTGAGATCTAACCAGGACCACCTCTCCTGTCAGTTGTATTTAAAAAGAGAAGTGAGAGCTACTTGTTTGTACCTAAGGTACAATGTACATGTAACATACCATGTAAGTTTGTACTTAATTTTTCCTTAATTTTAGGAAAGTGAACTTCCAGCTGTTCAAGGAGTGAGTCAATAGGACCCCAGGAAACTGCCCTGAGGGACAAGGGAGCAGAACAGAGCTGGTAGAACTTTAGGGACACTTTCCGTAGAGCGAAAGAGCTCTTGATCCCCAGGTGTAAGAAATCAGGAAAGGAAGTCAAGAGACCAGCACGGATGAGTCAAGACCTGCTGGTCAAACTAAAGGACAAGAAGGAAATGCACAGGCAGTGGAAGCAGGGACAGGTATCCTGGAAGGAGTATAAGGATGCTGCCTGGTTGTGTAGGGATGGGGTCAGGAAGGCCAAGGCGTGGCTGGAGCTGAACTTGGAAAGTGATGCAAAGAATAATAAGAAGGGCTTCTATAGGTATGTCAGCCAGAAAAGGAAGGTCAAAGAAAGTGTACCCCCCATCCTGATAAACAAGACTGGCAAACTGGTGACAACAGACGAGGAGAAGGCTGAGGTACTCAACAACATTTTTGCCTCAGTCTTCACTGGCAATCTCTCTTTCCACACCTCTCGAGTGGATGGACCGCAAGATGGGGACTGGGGGAGAACAGTCCCTCCCAATGTAAGAGAAGACCAGGTTCGTGACCCCCTGAGGAACCTGAAAATACAGAAGTCTATGGGACCTGATGAGATGCATCCCAGAATCCTGAGGGCATTGGCTGATGTAGTTGCCAAGCCACTCTCCATGATATTTGAAAAGTCACGGCAGTCAGGTGAAGTCCCTGGTGACTGGAAAAAGGGAAACATTGCACCTGTTTTTACAAAGGGCAGGAAGGAGGACTCTGGGAACTACCGACCTATCAGCCTCCCCTCTGTGCCTGGGAAGATCATGGAAAAGATCCTCCTAGAAGCTATGCTAAGGCTCATGGAGGACAGGGAGACGATTCAAGACAGCCAGCATGGCTTCACCAAACACAAGTCCGTCCTGACCAACGTAGTGGCTGCCCGTGATGGAGTGACTACGTCAGTGGACAAGGGAAGAGCTACAGATGTCATCTATCTGGACTTGTGTAAGGCCTTTGACATGGTCCCCCCCAATATCCTTCTCTCTAAGTTGGAGAGAGATGGATTTCACGGGTGGACTGTTTGGTGGATAAGGAACTGGTTGGATGGTCGCATCCAGAGCATAGTGGTCAGCGGCTGAATGTCCAGATGGAGATCAGTGACAAGTGGGGTCCCTCAGGGGTCCGTACTGGGACCAGTACTGTTTAGTATCTTCATCAATGACAAGGACAGTGGGATCGAGTGCACGCTCAGCAAGCTTGCAGATGACACCAAGCTGAGTGGTGTGGTTGACATGCCTGAGGGACCTGGAAAAGCTTGAGAAATAGGCCCATGTAAACCTCCTGAGGTTCAACAAGGCCAAGTGCAAGGTCCTGCACTTGGATTGGGGCAACCCCCAGTATCAGTACAGGATGGCGGATGAAGGGATTGAGAGCAGCCCTAACGAGAAGGACTTGGGGGTACTGGTGGATGAAAAGATGGACATGAGCCAGCAATGTGTGCTCACAGCCCAGAAGGCCAACCATATCCTGGATGACATCAGAAGAAGCGTGGCCAGCAGGTCGAGGGAGGTGATTCTGCCCCTCTACTCCACTCTGCTGAGATCACACCTGGAGTACTGACTGCCTCCAGCTCTGGAACCCTCAGCACAGGAAAGACATGGACCTGTTGGAGCGGGTCCAGAGGAGGGCCATGAAAATCATCAGGGGGATGGAATACCTCTCCTATGAAGAAAGGCTGAGACAGTTGGGGTTGTTCAGCCTGGAGAAGAGAAGGCTCTGGGGCTTCAGCACTTAAAGGGAGCTTATAAGAAAGATGGGGACAAACTTTTTAGTAGAATCTGTTGCGACAGGACAAGGGGTAATGGTTTTAAACTAAAAGAGGGTAGATTTAGATTAGATATAAAGAAGAAATTTTTTACCATGAGTGTGGTGAAACACTGGAACAGGTTGCCCAGAGAGGCTGTAGATGCCCCACCCCTGTATACATTCAAGGTCAGGCTGGACGGGGCTCTGAGCAACCTGATCTAGTTGAAGATGTCCGTGCTCACTTCACGGGATGTTGGACTAGATGACCTTCAAAGGTCCTTTCCAACCCAAACTATTGTATGATTCTAAATGTACATGTAATGTAACACATAAGTGCCTGAATTAAAAAAAGAAAAAACTCTAGCTCCCCAGAAACACATTGCTGAGGTCTTCAGAGGACTTCAGGCTGAAGAAGAGATGGGGCTTCATCAGCACACCTCTCTCCATTTCTTACAAGCTTACACAGGTATCCCAATGTTTGGTATGCTAGATGTTGCAAATACAGCCATCTAACGGTCTTCAGACATCAGATGAAGAGCTGATGTTCAGATCCTGCAGTCATATTCTCAAGTGAAGAAGCTGGTGTATACTTTTGCAAGTTTATTCCTTTGAGGATATGCCCATAGGCAGTATTCAGGCACTTAGCCAAATTATTTCCAGTGGCTATACTCACTAGTGCTAGTTAAAGTTAACTGCACTGAACATTTGCTCTTCCAAAAAAAACATGTTGCTTACTCCGTACATGCACAGTGAATGACATATGTCTAGGAAATCAGAAAGGAATGCACTTTTCTGTGAGATGTGTAAACTTTTAATTTAAGATCTTAACAGGATCTTAAACATAAAATCTTTTAACTTTTGAATTTACTATAATCTAAGGTTAAATGGTGATTTGGAAATATAATTTTAAATTGTTTTAAAGCATATACAAAATTATGAAAGAAAACAATGATATGGTTATAACTACATTAATAACTGAACTTAAGAGTCAGCAAGCAAGCTTATATTAAATTCCTGATCCTTGAGAAGAGAGAAAAAAAACTATGTAGCAATATCAGTAAGGACTTTCCCACTGTTAATTAATGATCAAAACAACAGATGCTCCGTGGATAGCTGCATCCCAATACCACGAACAGGAAGTAGCTTATTAATTGCATGAGAGTAGTAATGGCTCATTAGGTGAAAATAAATGGGAATTATCTCCAGATGACAATGGCTGCCTTTATTAACAACCCAGGTGACCTAATTGAATACAACAGAACAAGAAAACAGGGTTACTCTAATTACATGGAAGCAAAACAATGGAAGCACCTCATTAGTACCGTTTGAAAACTCCATGCAGAAAACAGTGTATTTACAGCTATAAGAGTGGACAAATAAATAATACTTACCAAACAGTACTCATATGGGGAATACAAGTCAAAATAAATACTGAGTATACTATAAAAAATCAGACATATAATAAGCATTAGATAATTCTACCTGAGCCCCAGTTGCAATTTCATCAGCAGCTTCGTTCATCACTCCTAATGTTTGAAAAGCAAATACACAGAGCTCCCGTTCACAAACAGTGGGCTACACAGAGAAAGAAAGTTAATTGTATTTTTGTTCTAGTTTTGGGTTCTTGGTTTTATCATGTAATACCTACAACAAAATCCAAACACATTTAACGTTAATTTTTTCCTTCAGATATTAACCGCAACATTAATTTCAAACTATGAATACACATCAATTATTGAGGAAGATACATTAGAGAAGCATTTTAATAATCTGAAGAACAAGTGTGAAGAACTGTAAAACTCGTAACTACTCACAGAGGCTAAACTTAGAAGAATTCCAAACAGATTACAAAACCAAAATTACAGGCATAGTACCCAAATGTCCATACACTATTCTATCAGGCTCTGAAAACTTCCTACATAATTAAAATTAATGGAGAACAAATCCAGAAACTAATGGGGGCACACCCCCTTCATAAATGCATGTTTATTCTTCACAGCTTGTTATTCTGGTGTTGAGAACACACATAAAAATCTGATTAGAAGACAAATTACTTTTAACTAATTTAACAATTTATTTGTAAACTTTAAGAAAATGCATTATATTTTTATATATTTTTATATATTTGGGAAGGTCACATGTTATTTTAATAAATAAAGGCACTTCCACTCTTTCTTCAGATATCAAAAAAAACCCAACAAACCCACCTTGCTGTTGAACGAGTTTTTTGCCTGTATTTTTGAAAATTTAATTCACAATGCCATCACAATGATCAAATAAAAAAACTTATTTAAATTGCATATTGAGTGAGAATAGAGCGTTCTGCCTTCATAAAGCAAACAAAGCAGAAACAAAAAAGAACACAGCTTTAAGTAAAGAGAATAGGCATGACTTCCTAGGCTTCCTAATTGGTTACAACCCTTACAGCAACTCTATGCTTATTTACTGAAAGATAATTAGCAGATCAACTTTTTAAAGGCTCAAGTAATGAATCACACAGTGAATTGTTATAAGCATTCAAAACAAACAAACAATTGAAAGAAATACAAGAAAGAAACACAAATTAAAACCTTCCTTAAAATTGACCCCAATAAACATACTTTTTATTACACAGTTGAAAACAATCAAAAATATTTTTCGCATACTATTTCTTTGAATCCATATTATTAAATCATAGCTCACTGAAACGTATAATGATCTTTGGTAGGCACTACTGAACTTTTGTAACTAAAAATTCTGAGTCTAGCTACCACGATAATAAAGCATTCCTAGCAGTATGCTTTGAAGTTCAAGCCAATGTCTCCAGGAAGCACTTGCAGAAATGAAAATGTGAGTTGAGCACACAAAGAAAACATAAAATTTAGCTGGATTCTGTTTCAGGCAACAGCTTTGTCACTAATAAGCATACTGCTGTATTTGTAGTCACTTGTTTCATAGCCCTTAAAATAGGCATTTGCTGGGTTTCAAAGATTCAAGACTTCAATAAACATCTGAAATCCACTGCATTGACATATTCTCACATCAGTTGCTTTACAAGAGAGCTATCATCTTTCAAGTCTAACAGTGTATTACCCATTAGATTTATTTTATCTCCTATGTTACATTGCATTAGGCAGCAGACGAAGCCTGACATGATCCAATTCGCCGTGCCACTGGCACACTAGACAAAAAGTATTTATTATTGTCATTATTCTTAGGTTTTCCACATTTAGAAGGTGGTTAAATCATTTGCTTAGTTGGGGAAGCATGGTGCCACTAGCACCTTGACTATCATAATCAAAGGTATACACAGACTCCCTTTTATTCCAGAGTAAGGGATTGCTCTGGAACAGCAAAGCAATCTAATTTTAGCCATGCTTGCCATGAAGAAAAGTGTTAAAATACTTATTCTGACATTTTGTTTACATCCTCAACACAGTAAGTTATCCTGAGACTTAAAGATGGCAAAGGGAACACAGGGTTTTGTCACCTTTGCTCTTTCCCCGCCTCCCCCACTCCCTGCCGTGTTATGATCCCAGAAATATCAGAGCATCTGGAAGAGGGAAGTTAGGAAAATGGTTATTGTACTTATGTTTGACATTTGAAAGGCCCTTCTTCTCTCAGGTGGACACTGGAGCTAAGATCTTAAGGCTGGTGAACTGTAGATATGAGGAGAAGCAAGACAGCAAAATTTGAGTTCTGAAGAGGAACAGACATTACTGTTACAGTCTTTACAATTCTTTTGATTTTATGTATTTGATGAACCTTTATGCCCACTAAACAGTTTGGCTCTGCAGTCTAATGGGGAAAATAACCCAAACCCTGTAGCTATATGGACACTTCAATGGCCTGCCTTCATATATCCACCCTTCCATGGATGCCTTCTAACCCAAGCTCCAGCCATTTTAAGAGCACTTTTTGATCCTGTTTCTGAAATTTGTCCCAATTTAACCAAATCAGATGCTTTTAACTTAAATTTCTCACAAGTGTTAGTAGTATTCCAAGAGATGTTGGTATGGCTGTTTCACTGTCCTCTACTCCAGTCATTAGTTAGGTTCACCATTTAAACTCCTTTCTTTCCCTCCAAAATGAAAAGATTGGCTTACAATTAAGAAGCAAACATTTGGAGAGCTTTTGTTTGTCATACAATGATGACTTATCTATTCAGTGTCACATTTCCATATTTTGGTTTTGTCCACAATTGTCCATGCTAGAACCAATGAAAACGTATGAAAACTAAGTTAATAAATAAACTCTAGAAGACAGAGCTTACAGAAAATCACAAGCTTTAAGGGAAAACTGGGATTCAAGGCTGCTCTTACACTGCTGCTAATGTTTTGCATACTGCCAATGTGTTTCCCTTTATGGTGTCTGCTTGTGTCTTCTCTTGTAATAGGATGTGAGCCCTTCGGACAAGAACAGTCTTGTTCTGACTTCTTATAGATATGAGAAATGTCTCTAGCCACAGTAAACAAACAAGAACACCACCACTAACACATTTATAAAAGCTACATTGTTCCAACGTCATTTTTGAATACTCTTATTTTGGTTCAAGTACACGTACTATTCAGCAAGCCGAACTTTCTAAGAACTTTTATGTACATACATGAAAGGATAGACATGTTCTTACTGATGTGGATCTACATCCACAAAGGTACAGAATATCCAACTTCTATTAGATTACTAGTTTCCATTGTTTTCAAAGGGAAAATACACGACAAAATAGGGCTTATACACTTAAGTATGTATTTCCAAATGTGAACCTCATATTAGGTGCACGCAGAATTTTACAGATTACAACCATCACCTAGAAGGCACGCAGAGCTGACTAGTTGGGCAACTTTGTTCTCCACTACCTGAAGAGGGCAGCTGTAACTCCAACAGCAGCAGCTGCTAGTGGTCTCACATATACTTTATTTTTCACTTGAAAGGGGAAAATTAAATAAAGCCATTGACTTCCACAAAACTATTAGCTAAGTGAAGATCATTGGTGCTGAAAGACTATTTAGAAGGATAATTATTCCAGTGGGGAAAAGCCAGAAGAAAGTAAGAGCTGGGCAGTTAACCTGAGACTGCAAATGCTTGGAAACAGAAGGCACTGACAGAAGCAGAAAGCATTTTTTGAGCTTTTGAGGTTTTCCGACTTTTCCTTTAGCCACCTCCATTCTTTGCATGCTCAGTAGCACCCACCCAACTGCTGCGAGGCTGCTGTGATGAAAAAGGGCTCAATCAGAGTTTCCGCATGTTACAATGCAAGTGTCATTTTTTACAGCAGTGACTGTGAATGGCTGACAGGCAAATCACTAGGTACTATGACATATTCTGGTTCCTGGACTCATACACTACTTAAAATATTTTCCAGACATTCTTTCAATTCGAAAAAGCTGAAACTTTCATAGCCGATATTGATCTATCTTACTACTTTCTAATGTGGCTGTGCTCAGAAGAGCAATGTGCCACCCTTTCCTGTATCCTGAGGGATGTCACACAGACACTAATGAGGCAGCAACATGACTGACACACCTAAAAACTCTTGATCTAAAAGGAGAAGCTCAGGGAAGGCTCTTAGCAAATGTAAAAAATGGTAAAGGTGAAACCATTAGTGACCATCTCACTTCTCCTAATAAAAGCAACAGGCAGGGAGATGAAATGTAACTTCAAATCTCTGTTCCGTTTCCTACTTTCAACCGTGGTACTTGTTAGTTTTTCCATAGGAGGAACTTCTCTCTTTCTGTTCATTACACTCATCAGAAGGATAAGAATATAACACAGCAGCAATAACACTGAAAAAATGTGGACAGACAGATACAGAGAGGAAGGGAGAGAGGGAGGGAGGGAGGGAACTAAGAAGGAAGGAAGGAAGGAAGGAAAGAAAGAAGGAAGGAAGGAAAGAAGGAAGGAAGGAAGGAATAAATAAGGAAGGAAAGAAAAGAAAAAAGGAAGGAAGGAAGGAAAGAAAAGAAAGGAAGGAAGGAAAGAAAAGAAAAATGTAAGAAATAAAGAAAAAAAGAAAGAAAGAGAAAGAAGGAAAGAAGGAAAGAAAAAAGACTGGGAAAGAGCAGGAGAGAGAGAAGGAAGGAGAGAGGAAAGGAGTCTGGTAGGTAAAGGTCTCTTTTGCAAGTGAGCTTTCAAGTTTTAAAGGTTTATTTCACAGTTTGTGTGAGTTATGGATTTTTAGATATGTCTTAGCTATATTTGTAAAAAAAGGCAAAATAAGATTGGTTGCTAATTCTCTACCACCTGATCCAGTACCTAAGGATCAGTTATATTCGGAGAAGTAAGAATAACATTACTAATTCTGAAACAGAATCCAGAGCTGTAGGAAAGGGTCTCTTCCGGCCCTCTCATAGCTTACATCTGTAAGCCATGCTTTCAGATGAATTAACAAATGCTACAGAAACCTCAGTTGTACCTACAGATCTGACACACGAGTTAAAAGTGGTACCTGGAAGGCAGGCACTGATGAGGCATTTGTATGATTTCTACCAGTGCTGCTTAAACCCGTATGTAAAATCCTCATTCTCTGTAAGAGGACTAGAGCAAAGCACGTTTATGAGTTTAAGACTTTTATGTTTCCTACAGCATAACAGAAGGGT